TTTCCTATATATAAACGTTTTAATTTCTAAAATTTGTGCCGATTAAAGTGTTCATTCGAGCATCGAAGTGTATATATGTATTAGTTTCTTTGGATAGGGGGGGGGGGTACAGTTTTTACTGCGTTTGATTTCCGGAATTTTGCAGTGCTTTTCCGACACTTAATAATTTCATTTCTAACATTCATTTTTTTCATTCTGGATTTTTACACTATATTTCAAGCAATTTAAAGTTAACAAAGAAGATGGAATCATTATTTTAATAGAATATATTTGGTTAAATTAACACAAGTGAACTTGTGATGAAAATTTATTAAACGAAAGTCAAGCAATAAAAAGTTAAAGTTTGTTTTTTGAAAATTAAATCAAATCAAGTCACAGAAAACAAAGACAGGTTGTAAAACTCACACACCGACACACACACACAAACGTTTTGGTAACTCCGAATAGTCCAGAGTAAAACTATATTTTCTTGATGACGGAATGTCCTGTACATCTAATGTTCACGTCCGGGATAGTCCACGGCGGATCTAAAAACTCTCTCACACAACATACGGGATTCACTCAAATTTCAATTAACACATTTACGCAATTTATATCATACATACAAGTCAGACGCTCTTTGATGTAGAGGATTGACACTAATTCCTTAGATAAATACTTAGTGACAAATTCCTTTTTACTATTTAAACTCAAATTGATAGGTTAATAGCTTAAGCATATGTCAAAAATAAGCATTAAAAATAATTCTTTTCATAAAATTAAATTTTGTTTAAACAATATAAATCACTAGCAGCGCAAAGACAGACTTTAAAAAAAAAAAATCAGAGGTGGAATCAGGCAAATGAAATCCTTTTATGGCACCACCAACCCCGTAACGAGACATCTCATCGAAATGACCGGTCTCCGCGTTTTGAACCTCCAAGAACATGTATTGCATGTTCTTGAATAATTTGTATTAATAAGTCTTTAAGGAAATCTCATGTAGGAAACCTGATTTATATTCTAATATATTCTATTGAGTAATTTTTTTTAATTATTCCTACTTCTCAATCTATCATGTTCAAATTACATGTATTTATTTTTTAGGGAACATTAAACCTTATTCGTCAGCCAGTCTGTCCATCTGTCACGAGAACTTTAAACTTGATAATAACTATTGAATGAGTTGAAATAGGACTTTGATATTTCATATGAGCATTATTTGTGACATCTGATTTTCAAATATACTGGGATTTTTGACCCTGTGACCTTGATCTTGGAGCTTGACCTACTTAAAAAAAATAACATTACTTTAAATTGACCATAACTTTTGAAAGCTTCCATTTTATAAAAATGTATTAACTGTGACAACACCTTTTAAAATTTACTAATTTTTTACCCTTTGACCTTGAAATTTGACCTGCTTTTCAAAAACATTAACAATACTTATACCTTTTGACTGAGAAGAGATAGGGCTTTTATTTTATCCCTATGAATTACCTATGACAACTCTTTTCTAAATACACTGACTTTTGACAACTTGACCTTGAGGCTTGATCATAACTTCTTAATGAAGAGAGATAGGGCTTTCATATTACACAAACATCACAATGTCATGTACGTAACCTGTGATAAAATCATATCAAATAGTATATCATGAACTTTGACCTTGAAGTTTATCCGGCTTTTCCAAAATTTAAACATTGCTTAAAATTGACCATAACTTTTTACACATGTATATTAGCTGTGACAAGCCTATCTAAAAAAAAGGTATGGCTTAAATCATGGAGAGTGTGTTATGGCCTTGAATCAAGGTCATTTAGGATAAGATATTTTGACTGGATGCATTGTTTGAAAAAGACATGTGTGAATTTGTCAATACAGTAGCACACAAATGGGGTATGCTCATCACCATCTTGTGTCATGGTGTGACCCAAGGTCATTTTGACAAGGTCAAGGTCGCAAACATTCCTTTTCTATCACTTTTTTAATAGTAAAACATAATAAGATGATATCTACCCCTAAAAGATTGCTTTATCATAAGAACGTGGCATGACCTTGACTCAAGGTCATTTCTCTCTGTCCGTAGCTCCGACGGAAGACCTACTCGTTGCTTTGCAACGAGCTCGGCTCTAGTATTTCTAAACAATTGTTAAGAATTTCGTATACGCTGTCGTTTTCACTCATTTTTCAAAATATAGGGTGACCTTTGAGTACCAAGCTTTTTTATCGTCAAACGTTTCTAAAAACGGTGCAAACTACCCCCAATATGATGTCTATGAAATTTGCTATGTATCTTAAAGTCAATCATACATCCATCGTCGGAAACCCACGGTCGGTCTCGCTTCTCTTACCTTGTTTGTCACCCAATCTCTCCACTTTCCATTTAGCACACTTTCAGGTGAGGTGAAAATGAATTGCATTTCATTTCTTAATATGGAATCGTCGTTTTCACCACCTTTATCACGAAGGAATAGTTAAGGAATAGTTAAATTAATAATATACTAATACATTACATGGGAAAATGTTTGTTTTGATATTATTTAATTTTTATTATTAAGAAAAAAAACAACGTTGACATGTTTCCTGTCATATGAAAATCAGTATTGAGTAACCAAAAACAGTTTTTGTTTATCATCTAATGCCGAGAAATTATTTTACTTTTAATTGATTGAAAAATTCCTTTTCTTTAATATATCTTTTTTACATGTAATCAAAAAAAGAGTTTCATCATCTACACTGCATATATAGTTTATGTAGATAAATAGGTCATATAGGGGAGGTCTGCTTACCAATAAATGCTGAAAGAAATCCTAAACTATTCAATGAATTGCACTGTTCATGCATAATGGAAAGGAGAGGTGTGACGACCAAAACTGAGATCGGATTGTTGTCGTCAAAACTAGCGTTATATGCCGTGTGAAAGCCCCGGTAGCAAATACTTTTCCCACCTCCGGTTTTGATAGACAGAAAAACGTCTCTTTTCTTCAACAGCGCTGCCAAAGACTCTCTTTGAAAGTCTTTTAGATCGTTTATTTGAAAAACTTCTTTCACTTTCGCCTCGAACGTCTCCATATTGTTTGCAAATCCTTCCCGACATACGGGTTGCAACAATGATTTTGATTGGGTAATTAAAGCTACACATCGCAATACGGTTTCGTATTGCGACCAATGAAAATGCGTTATTGAGACACACCTCCAAGCGAATTTTTCGGCCTTGTGTCCCACGGGAGGTAAGAGAAGCGAGACCGACCGTGGGTTTCCGACGATGTCATACATCATCAAATATTATTTGTTGAAATTTGGAAAACAGTACATAAGTTGTTTTATTTTTTGTTGGCAAGGACGGTATCAATTTTAGATGCCCATTATATTATTTTTTATTATTGAAATCCACCAGCTCTTTTGTCTATTAAACAGGCATTGGTTTTTGTAAAAGTCACATATTTCAGTAAATATTTCTCTTTATGTTTAACAAGTTTTACGGCAGCTTTAATGAAGCTTTTATTTTAACTCTAGTTTACCTGTTCTTTACTATTCATTTATGTTGCGGTGTCTCAAATAGTCCTTGTTTCCCAGCTTCTCGCGATGAAACTATGTGATGAAAAGTGGTCACATAAATTATAAATTCATGAAAGATTCAATAATAAGAGAAAGTCAAGTTTAATGTCATGTGATATCTGTCATGTATGTCATATAGTTTAGGAAATTATGTATTGAACAACCATCGTATATCAACCGATTATTGCTATTAACAATAATTATATTTCGACACGATATTTCTCAGAGAGCTTGGGAAAATACAATCCAGTCCGAAACATCTATCAAATTGGGATATTTTAGTAGAAAAAAAAATATTTATTTTAAGGACAGATGATACAAACAAATTTTTTCTTTGAAAAAGATTTAATATCATGTCACAAGTTTAGAAAAGTGGATGGTTCTTAGAATCTTTTCTCCGAAGAACTGGAAAATGAAATAGATTTGGAAAATTTTAGTAATATTTCAATAAAAAAAAGAATATAGACAAACAACATTCAGTAAAAGTTTACAGGTGAAAATAAATTTCAGAATATGTTATTATGGCGCTAAAAGTGTAATATAAACCTTAGAAAAATATACCAAGCCAGGTGAATTTTAAGAGGAAGATCGAAATAGCAAAAAATTTGCAATATCACATAGGCTGATTTGTACCATTTAGCTTTTCCTAATTAAATTCACCTGGGTCGGTATGTTTTTCTTAAGTTTATATTACACTTTTAGTGCCAAGATAACATATTCTGAAATTTATTTTCACTTGTTAACCTTTACTGAATGTGATTTGTCTATATTTGTTTTTTCATAGAAATATTACTAATATTTTCCAAGTCTTTTTCATATTCCAGTTCTTCGGAGAAAAAATTCTAAGAACCATCAACTTTTCTTAACTTGAGACATGATCTTTAATCTTTTTCAAAGAAAAAAATTTGTTTGTATCATTTGTCCTTAATCCAATAATCAAGTTTTCTAATGAACTAGGTAAGTTTTACTTTTCATCCGTCAACTCCCCTGACCAATGCATCAGTATACCTTTTCGCCTGCATACAGGGCTTGTATCGCTAAATTCATCGGATTTACAAAAAAAAAAAAATAATTTACTGATGGAAAATGTGTAGGAAGTGAATTTATTATCAAAAAAGTTGATAAAACAAGTATAGCAGGAAGCTCATTTAAAATAAGCATTCCGATGATAAAAAGGAGCACAATGCTATCGACAGGAGATGTCTTCTCCACTATTACACCTGATTCCACCTGTAGGGTAGAGAAGTTATTGCTATGTTTCTTCTTTGTATTGGTTGAATACACTTTTCAGCCTGAATACTGTTCGATATCTTTGAAGAAGGAACCGGTTATGGAAAAAGGTAAACATGAATCCTTGAACAATAATCCTGTTAAGGTTTTATACTATAAATTACTGACATAAACACATGCTTTACCTATTTTTCACCAAAATACTTTTATAAGGGATAATAATATCCTACCATTTTCACACTGATATCCCTGATACCCAGGTTTACACCAGGAACACACTCCAGTCTCTATGTGACAATAACGACAGTTGTCAGGACAGGGGAGGGAACAATCTGGTCCATAGAAGCCAGTTCGGCAACCTTGAAAAAATTTTATATAGGTATTGAAAATCAATTCCATTTGACTCAGGAAAAAAATATGTTTGTATACTTTGGATCGACTTTGTGCTTAATATTTTTTCTTAACATCAAGTCAACATGTAACAAAAAAAATGAATAAAAATATACTGCAAAGAATCACCAAGTAGAAAAAAATAGTTCTATAAAAACATGATTATAAAAAAAGAGAAAAAATAACGCCGGTTATAATAAACGAATCATCATTTATAAATCTTTTCATACCATAGACTTCCACTTCACAGAGTTCATTAAATGCATATTTAGAATATCCATTTGGATATATTACTCCTGGAAATCTCTCATTAAAGTATATGACATATTGTCCATGAACGGGGCAACTGATATTGGCGATTGCAGGTATTGTTGAACTGGTGTAGTTCGTATCGTGGAAACACAGATGACCATCGAGACGGTTTGTTGAATTTGATATGTAAACATAGAAACCTAGAAATCTTGCTGTATAACCATTCGATGCATCTGAATTATAAAACGGATACAAATATTCTACTACATAAAGATTTATATATGAACCTTAAATGATAAATAGTATTATGAGTTGTTCATGAAAAGCAAATTAACAGTATATTTCAAAAGTCATAGACAATTTTTAGTCCGAAACTTTTATTTCAATGCATTTATTTATTTGAATAATGATACTATCTTGTTTAGAATTGTTGTTAGTTAAGTTCGATCCTTTCTTTTGTAGAAATGCAATTGAATAAACGTACCCCAAATAGTGTTCTCTGTTCTGTAATAAATCATAATATTATGAATACTGTAGATTGCGTCCAGGATGACCCACCAGGTCGACGTACTGTATCCATCATCAGATATAGAACACTGTCCTCCCCAAGCCCTGAGATCATTTTTAAGTCCATCTACAGCATTGGTGGAGTCAAATAGACTATTATCTGGATTGTATTGATTGGATTGCCATGTCTGTCTATTCAGAGCTAAATTTTCTGAAAATAACATCAATTATATCTCCAGCATTCATAAAACGAACGATTTAATGGTATATATGTATATCTAAATAGAACTAAAAATAAGATTTTATTTTGAGGTTTGTCTTGGTTTTAATTCTAAGCCATGTTCAAAAGTCTAGATATTTCAAATAAATGGTCTATTAAGCTAAATATTACCATATTTACTAAACTATCATCTGTAATGTTTTGGGGGTCGGCGTTTGCTTTGTTCCTACTTTGAGACTGAATACTGTTCGTTATCCCCTTTTATGTTATGATCTAGAAACCGAAGTCACGTGTCACAGTAGGTGATGTCACAAAAAGATCCCACACTGCTCAATGGTCTTGAGTACCGAACATATCAAAATATTTGCAACTCTCCACTAACAAGTTGTGGTGTCTGCATATGAGTGAAAAATACACCAGAGGGACGTTAAAAAGCATACAATCAATTATAAAATCAGCTTAGCTCGTACATTTAGTAAACTGTAGCCCAAATTAAACCTCTTTTTCCTTAGCCTTGGGCTTAAAAATCCGAACAGATGCAGCAATTTATACAGCACATTATTAATGATTAAGTTTCCGGAAATAGAAGAGCTATTAAATTTGGGTTGAATTTTTATCATCAATGTCTCTATATCAATACACAGGGCAAAAGATCTACATCATTTTCCCTCGAAAATCCCATTTTAAAAAAGGGATTTTTTTCTTTAAGGTTAGGTCACTCAAATAGTGGACATTATCCGATTGATTGATTGTATACTGTTTAACGTCCCTCTTCAGAATATTTCACTGTTATGGAGACGTCACGATTACCGGTGAAGGGCTGAAAATTTAGGCCTATGCTCGGCACTTACGGCCTTTGAGCAGGGAGGGATCTTGATCGTGCCACACATGCTGTGACACGGAGCCTCGCTTTATACGGTCACATCCGAAGGACCGCTCCATTTAGTCGCTTTTTACGACAAGCAAGAGGGTTATGAGGACCTATTCTAACCCGGATCCCCACGGCACGGGGACATTATCCAAAGAAATGTAAAATGATGTATTGATGTATTCTATTCAAGACTTCTTATTAGTCAAATGAGTCATTTTTCATCTAACTGTAGGATTTTTTAGACCATGGAAATTGTATGTCAGTTGCCATGGCGAATATTGACCACATCAATAATTTTATTGTGAATTTTAAATTCATACATCGATTAAGGTATGTATGCCAAGTTTCATATAAACCTAAGACGCAGCGTGACACACTCCCTGTCTATGAGTTTTAATTCTTACACATGGTTTTTAGTTCTCATTAATCTCGCCATACTCTTTCATTTATAAATTATATCTCTTATCATCGTTATAAATACAGTGCAAGAAGCATAATTTTTGCATTGATTTTGTTAGATAAAAGTATCATTTTGGTTACTAGTACTTAAACAAGGTTTCATAAAATTTCCAGATACGAAGATCTAAAAATACAATTAAGACACGTGGATTTGCTGCGGAGTTATAATATTTTACATGTTTTAGAATGGAAAAGCAAAGTTTTTCACTGCTTCAAGTCATAACAGCTCAATCTTTTAAGTAATTCTATGTTATTTTCAAATATTTTGTAATATATTAATAGTTTAGAGAAGTGATAGCAAAGAGTACACTTCGATTTTCTCTGGGGGAATCACTATTTGAACAGTGAAGTTTTAATTCTTTGAAATAGGCGCATATACATTGAAAATTGAACGTCAAATTGTTTTATACTTAACTCTTTACAACTTACTGAACTGTTATGCAACATACGCTTAATGTCCAGTCATAGAAGTAGAAATTTACCATTTCCCCACAAGCACCCTTTAGCGTGGTACACGTTTCTATAAAATTTAGCGTAAAAATAATATTCTGAAGTTATATTTTTATACAAAAATAACTTTTCTTATTTTATGAAATTTTTGCAAGTTTAAAATAGAAGGAAATTGGCATTAAATTTAAGATTAAATTAACTTTTTAAAGTGCGTGAAAATGCGTGATTGCGGGGAAACGGTATATGCATGATTTTGCGTTAGAAATAGGAAATGGTATATGCGTTAAAATGCGTGACTGGGGGAAGGGGGTTAATGATCAACTTAATTAAAATAATGTCTAGATTCTATATTCATTTTCCAGGTGTTTTGATTTCATAATTAATTCCCATGCAATAAATATAACAAAAATGATCGTCCAAGTACATATCAACAAACTATATTAGAATGTAGCGTACCATATCAATTATAATAAGACTTTTTCTCGATTTATTTCATGATTTGGCTCATAATGAAACAGTCGAACTGTTTACCAGGTCATAGAATGCAATTTATATCTTTTGATCAATGTTGTTTCATCGTGATATTCAAGCGTTTTGTTTTGATGATCACGACATCAATATTATTTGAGGTCTGTTCAAAAAAGCGTGTATAAATTTAAAAAAAAAAACTTTGGATTTGAAATTCAAAAAAAAAAAAAAAAAAAAAAAAAAAATGACTCTATATGTTTATGATTTCACCCTTTTTATCATTTAGATATATTATATGATCAGTACCAATTGGTCCCATCTGACAAAGCAGGTAACAATATTAGAGAGGTTAAGCATTAAGCTTGTATATCTACTTGTACGTGTCAACTTAGAAGTGATTTTACACGTACGGGTAAGTTTTACCGTGTTCGGTTAAACAAGCTACATGTGTACCGACACGTATAAAATATAATTTAAGCAAGGCACTTTCCAATACATTTGTATTAAATAAATCAATGATTTTAATTAAAAAAAAAAGATACATTGGTTGCACGTAATAAATTTTCAACTTTATACAAATACCAGCTGAAATATATTTATTCTGCAGTCTGAGTTTAGGAATCTACAGGTTCTGAATCACCTTCTTGTACTTGCAAATCTACACGTTGTGTATAACTTGTAGAACCACACGGTATGCGAAACTGATGACATAAATCGCATTAAATTAGGGCATTTCCCTGGTAACACGTACACGTAGACGTACACGGTCATTTGCTTAACATCTCTACTGTCTTCGTTTGTAAGGCTTATCTTATCAATCGTATTTTAGATGAATTTGGATTTAATTCTACAAGTGCTTCTAAATGTGCATAAAAACCTCAAATTAGCACAGACCAAACTAAAGCATTGATTGCTCGTTAAGTTTTAAAGTGAAAATTTACTCAAAAAACTTCTCATTTCCAACAATTCACGAATAGATATTTCTCTAGAAAATCTAGTAACGTTGAGTATTAACTCAATCAGTTGTTGAAGTAACAACCTATTATGTCGGTATTTCATCAAAAGGAAACCAAATACATTTAATAGTTGTTCTTGTTATACTTTGTATTGCAATATTGAAAGATTACGAACGGTTTAGTTAAAAAAAACCAATATTGATAAAAATTTGAATCAGAGCAAAACATATTAAGCATCCTTAATCTCACATAAAGCCTTAACATTCTTACGTTTCTTAGTACATTCTACGACACCATCCTACCCACACTTTAAGTAAAAAAAATGGAGGATTGTTTTTAAATGTATGAAAATCAATCTTCTAATGCCAAATTAAAAAATAAGTTTTATTGAAAACATGGTTAATAGCTTACTCTAAACACATGTCAAAATGTGAATTAATCAAAGGCAAAAACTTACCATATTCATGTGAACAACAGATTGACAATATCAAGAGGTATACTTCTACAGAAACCATTTTTACTCCAATTGATTTCACTAGTAGGGACAACAATACGCTTTTAATATTACAACCCAGAGAAACATATAAATCAACCAGGGAATTTAAGTAAATGTTATTTACATTTCTTTTAATATCTTGATAATAATTAGACGTCCGTAACCAAAGCAGGACATATATGATTGTTGTAGAAAGGCTATTACTTTACATTGTATAAATCTTCATACACAGATATTGAATTTTTTTAACGTGATTTGTTTGGCCAGTAGATCGTCTGTTATCAAAATATTTCTCTTTAAAATGAAGATATAAAAACTTACTACGGAGTATTTTTTTTTCGTAAAAAGAAATGTGTTTATGAAGAGCCGATACCCTGGAAGCACAGCTTATGTGGGTTGGTACCCTTAGAAAGGCCCTCTCTTAAGGAATACATCTGTAAAATATAAAAGCCATATTCCCATCCGCTCGAAATTTGTTGACAAGTTATTTTATATTACAGACACTTAGAGAGACTGATAAAGACACACACACATCACGTTGTCAATAGATATGTAGTTAAATTTAAAAAAATACATATATTTCGCAAATATCTATGCATGCCTCTATGAATACTTTAAATGTAACCTTTACTTAAATCTAAAATAAAGATGTTCACAGTTGCTTTTTCTACAAATAAAGAAGTTTATGTACAAATGAATGTTATTCCTTACTATTAATACACTGATATCCCTGATATCCAGGTTTACACAACCAACACACTTTAGTTTCACATGACAATAGACTTTACCACAATTGTCAGTGCAGGGGAGGGGAACAGTTTGATCCATAGTAACCAGTTCCAAAACTTTTAAATTGTAATAAATAATAATACTAGGAATTTTAAAAAAAATACGCATAGCTTCCTCTAGAAAAATTATTTGACGAAGAGGCACATCTGTGGTCAAACTATGACATTTCTTTAATCCAAAAGACTTTTAAAATTCTTTTCGGAACATAAAATGAAAGCAACATTTTGTTTGTTTGTACATTTATTTTACTTGTAAATCCAGGAAGTTTTGAGATTAGAAAACTACATATACGATGAAATGTTTCCTTTTTGAAACATATATTATAAGGTCATTTCTGTCGGTTTGCACTGTTGTGACAAGAAAATATTTGCACGGTGGATGTGACAAGTCGACAAGGTATTTTTACTCCTCCAAGTCTCCTGATCACACCATCATTTTTAGTTGAGCATGTTTACTTTACTTTTAATACATATACTTTACTTTCAATGCATATCGATCATTT